TTGAGACACAGCGCAGTGAAAATTAGATTCACATGTAATGCTTGAAAACATGTCAGCAAAAATAAATTAAGTGAAATTCTACGTGACTTCATAATAGTTGGAAATGAACACATTACACCCGACCCTACCACTCCATATACAATGTAAACTACACCCCAAAACATCCTTTCACCCACAGTTACTACCGTGTTTCACCAGTGTATTCTATTTGACGTCAGAAGAAATTGAAATAAACAAAATAATTATAATTTCAGCCTCTAGTTGACCACTGATTAAATAAACTACCTCGTCTTTATGTCAACTTGCAGTTATTCGTTGCCTACATCAGTGACTTCAAAATATATGTTTCAATCCCAGGAATTTCACTCGCTGTTAATTGCATGGGAGTGGCAGTCTTTAATGAATTTCTATTGTCATGTCAATTTCTTGCGATTAATCGAACATTAAGCTGTAACCACATACCGCCTAGGTGCTGTAATTAAATCCTGGTGTAAGCACCATATGAACTATGAACAATGCATGTGAAGCCAGCTGTGGGGTATATTCAATCCTATAGATTTCTCATTGTTTGGTAACTATTTGCTGCAAATGCAACAAAAATCAATATAAAAAATATTACCCACACAGTATTCTACAGGTTACTTGTATTATTATATAGGTACCTTGGTCTCTTCATGATGATATCAATAATTTTCTATTTTTATTTATTTTTGTTGTCAAATGTTTTTCTTGGAAACTACTAGTCTGATGGCTTTGACATTTGACCTCATAGCTGTGATGACCACCAGATATGAACACTTTTGATGATGAAGTTCTTAATTACTGTAAAATATTTTATTTAAGTTGGAATTAATTTTCCCTTAAAAGACATTTTGGCTGTTTTGTGTGAACTTTTTTTTCTTCAATTTTTCAAAATTGATTTCTGATTTTTGATTCATACTGCAGCAAAAATATACAGTAACAACCACAATCATACTATTTTTTTGTAAGTGTACTTCACTTTGTCTTATTGGTGTGCATTACTTGACTACCACAATGACTGCAGAGCTCGTTTTTTGAGTTTTTTTGTGTCTAATCACCAAAATTTATTCTTGACACTGAATATTGTTTGGCAGTGAGGGCAGTATAACTTTCTAGAGAGGTAGAGGGAAGGGATGGGGGTCACAGTTGAAGATAGTAGTCATTTAGAACAGTGTGATTTCTTCCATCATAAAATTCATTGAGGATGTCTTTTCACAAGATTTCAAACAAAGCAAGGTCATAGCTAAAGTAGCTGAGAAGTTAAAATGGGAGGAATATCACCTGCACATGGACGGGATTTGCATGAGTCTTAAGCGATGATAACAACACACACTAAAAATGCAGAAGGTCATGGGTAAACAATGACACGCTATGGCCATCAGACGCATGCGCAGGTGGCGACTCCCTCGCTTTAAACAATTTGATTATTTATAGCTACAGTACTCATTCGGCCCAACCTCCCGCTTTTATCGCTTTTTTTTCGACCGCTTATCGCTTAATTTTCGACCGCTCGCTGCTTTCCGACCGGAAACCGACCGCTTTTTTTTTGCTTGCTTGCGTTCGCTTTTGTTCGCTTGCTTGCTCACTTTTATTCGCTCGCTCCTGCTATGGCTGGCTTCAGAAACATCGTCCGCTTGCCAACCGACCGCTGGAGTAACAATGATCGTACATTGTATGTATAAACTTAATGTTTTTATTCGTAATAAATTTAGGTTTTACTGACGATCCAAAACACAACGCCTATTGCTTCTCTGTTTTGGGAAGGGGACAAAGACGCCTTCAAATCACTTGACACATTGTAACGTTTGCTATGCAAGTCGAACTGTGACCTGTATTTACATATTTACGTTCTTGTGTGTGTAGTTCAAGCAGCTATATAACTGGTCAATTGCGATATGTATTGAGAACTAGTATTTGTGTGTTGTGTGTGTGTTTCTGTGTGTGATTTTGACTAAATTTATTTCGAACGGCACTCAAAATAATTTGACACTTTGTTATTTGCGAACGCAACTCACACTATGACCCTTACTCAATTTGCATAAGTAATACGAACGCTGTAGTTCAGAAAATTTATCGGTTAACTTTTGCTCGTGTCTGGGTGCGCAAAACAAAACTGTACATAATTATCGCATAGCTGAATTTCTACAAATCAATAGGACTTAAACTACTAGTATAATGACTGTAACGATTAATCGAATTATTGAATTGGCAGCAGCCGGACGAAAAATGAAAGAGATCTCGGAACAGTTAATTGTTGAGGAAAACAAAACAAACGCAGCCAGTGATACATTTTAAAAACAAAAATACAAAATAAACACAATCAGAGGCGCCGACCACGCGCGTTGGAAATAAATAAAACGTGTTGTGACAGTCTCACCAAACTCTTTCACTCGCGCAATATAATTATGTTATTTCCCAAAGCACTTATATTTAATACATTGACGAAAACACCGCAAGAAAAATGTAAATCAAGCTTGTAATTACTGGTAACTCTACTCGAACGCAATGTTAATCACTGTAAAAGTGGATAAATTCGAACCGTCATCAAATTCAAAATTCAAGCGATCTCGTTGAATGTCAAAAATAAACTCGATGTTTAGAAAGACAAAAACAACAACATGTTAGAGTGCAAAAAAAGTTACCAGCAAAGAACGAGAAGTGCATGTGGGAAAGCGATGAGTGAACTTGAGGAAAATTAAGCTAATGTGAGAACAAGCCATATACCCCGCAAAGTACATCAAGAAAATGTGCCATTTCAAAGGGCACCCTTACAAATAATGTCTGCGATTGTGTGAACATGAGATAGCGTGCAAACAAGGCACAAAGCTTGTGGTCCACCAAGGAAACTTAGCGATGACGCAGTTAGATGTATACGACTCCTTCGATCTAATATAAGCAGGTTCACGTGGATGTATCATTTTCAACTATTACCAACAACACTATGATAATAAAGACATTGTGAAATTCTTTTGTTTTTATGTAGAAAAATACAGTAATTTTACCAAGTAAAATCATATTTATCAAAATTGTTGTTCATACATGAGTTGTCGAACACACTACATAGTTTGTAATTTCATCCAGCTTCTTTCAGTCACAATTCAAGACAAACAAAAGGCACAAATATAGATAATATAGCAAATTATTTTTTTCTGTAATATTCGTGTGTAATCAGTAATTTATATGAAAACAAATTATGGGTACATATGGAATACATTTCGTTATGAATTATTCTTAATATCAATTTCTAACTTATGTTGTCAAAATCAGGTTTTTTTTCAGGATTTTTCCCCAAAAACGAAAGAAATTCATAATGTCGGGAACAGGAAGTTTTTTTTATTATTATTTATTGGGAACGGAAAGTCTTTATCGTAGGGCTTCGCCTCGGTTGACAATGAGCTCTTCGGGTCTCTAAAACTGTATGTCCACCTCTGTTGGGGTGAACATTTGTATTATTATACTGAATAAATCTTAAAACAGAAATTGTGGCACTCAATCATGGCAATCTTCCAGGTCATCATTAGAAAGATTTTCGGAGGCAAATTTAATCTTGAAGGATTGCAGGAAATTGACCCTTATCGATTCATATTTATGAATTAATCGGGATTCAGGTACCATAGTGTTTGTAACAGAAAAAGAAAAAAAAAACGAACTTTCACGTGGGATTTTTCATGCAAACATTGTGAATGGTTTCCCGACACTGATTCCTTTTTAACTTTCAATTTTTCTAAGACGCGGCATACCCTGCTCATGACCGGAGACGTCGTCGAGATGCAGGTGCAATTCCTGCGTTCTATTTATTTCCAAAGCGTGTGGTCGGCGCCTTTGATTGCATTTGTTTTGTTCTTTTATTCACGTAATCTATCACTGGCAGCATTTGTTTTGCCGCGTCTCACAACTTAATGTCCAAGCTGACTTTGTTTTGGCTGTAAGTGAACTACGTACAAGCTCATGAAAGTATTTCGCCCAGAGTTTGCAAAACGGAATACCCTGCAAACTTTGAATCCTCTATTTTATAACGAGACATTGGGCGCAAAAATAAAAACCATAATTGTAATTCAACAAGTTTATGTAACGTGTTAGTCCGCTTGCCAGCCGCCTAGTTAAAAAACGCGATCTCCAGTGATGTCGGCTTCGACAACTTCGGACAAGTAAGATGGGCGCTGGCCGACATTACATTTGCAAGTATTGTATTTGTTTGACAAATTGTACACTACGGTCATTCTATAACAATCGATCAGTCGTTTTTTTCACAGTCTTACTATTCCTGCAGATATTTTTCAATTGTTATAGGTGCCATGGATTTACATATACTACAACTTGACCTGTGTTAAATCCAAACCATGCGTGCATGACAACCGTCACCCTACACACGGTTACTCAACGAATACCGTACTCTACAGTAGACATTTTTCGCTCTCCACCAAAAATAGAATGGTTTTATTTCATATTAGTTGTGTCTGTGTCAGTGCCGTATTTGATTTCACATGTTTGGTTCGATCTTGTTTATGGTGGACATTATTACTACGCGTATGTATTATTACCAATTTTATATGGCAGTGTGATCCACGGTATTTTTTCAACGGTCGTTCTATAAATTTCTGATTGTATTTTTTCTTATTTTAACATCATAAAAACAAAAATGATACACTTGTACATGAAACAGTAGGTAATGAACTGTAAATGCGGGCGGTTGCACTGTCAGGCGAGCGAGCGCGCGAGCGTATACTTTCGGATTTGCGCAGTCAAGAAATAAAGCGGAAATTGTCCGGTCGAATTGAAAAAAGCGAGCGAAAAAAAAGCGAGCGAAATCCGGAAGCGGGCGGGAGGTTGGGCGAAATGAGTACTGTACCTACCTTGATAACCTGGTCTCCAACATTGATATCACATGCCACTCTGGACTCAATCTTTACAGATTTGATAAATATGCCTGTTGAGTTACCACCAGTGATTTCAATATCCATCATAGTTGTGTCCGAGAGGAGTACATCAAAGTAGTCAGTATTACTTGCTATACTGGTATACCCACTGGTGTTACTATTGTGACTAGTTCGCAGTGACTGCACGCTGTAAACAGAACTGTAAAAATAAAACACAAGATCATAACACATACATACACAGGGAGGAAAGTTCAACTTGGCTTAGGTTTCTGGCTGCTTATTTATTATATCATTTTATAATATATGAAGCCATATCACATAACCATCACCATTCTGGAATTTATATTTATATAATTCATAGAATTCAAAAGATATATTGGCATAGTGATACAAATGGTCAGCTCTCAGGAAATAACTTGTAGTATAATGGCTGAGAAACATAAACATTTTTTTTATATATAAATATAATTACAACTACTGGAAACAGATATATCGCATGAACAAGCAGTTCATGGACAATGTAAATGGGAGTTGACTTCTAATATGACAAGTCAGTCATGCATTTATTAATCATACCATGGTAATTGCAGGACCAACCCACCAACAGAACAAATAGCATTTTAAATATTTGGTACAACAAATTTCAGTGAAAATCTGAATAAAATTTAGGCATATCATCATTTTTTGTGACTGACCTATATTGGCTCTTCCAAATTCCTGTACCAATGGATCACATTTACAAATTAAGACACTTTGAAATGTGTATTAGGGTGAGAGTAGGTTGTATTAAGGTATAAGTGGGTTGTATTGGGATACTAGATAGTAGGAGTAGTTTTTATTAGGCTTGGAGTGGGTTGTATTGGGGTATAAGTGGGTTGTGTTGGGATACTAGATAGTCGGAATGGTTTTAGGCTGGGAGTGGGTTGGATTGGGGTATAAGTGGGTTGTGTTGGGATACTAGATAGTAGAAGTGGTTTTTATTAGGCTGGGAGTGGGTTGTATTAGGGTATAAGTGGGTTGTGTTGGGATACTAGATAGTCGGAATGGTTTTAGACTGGGAGTGGGTTGTATTGGGGTATAAGTGGGTTGTGTTGGGATACTAGATAGTAGAAGTGTTTTTATTAGGCTGGGAGTGGGTTGTATTAGGGTATAAGTGGGTTGTGTTGAGATACTAGATAGTCGGAATGGTTTTAGGCTGGGAGTGGGTTGTATTGGGCTATAAGTGGGTTGTGTTGGGATACTAGATAGTAGAAGTGGTTTTTATTAGGCTGGGAGTGGGTTGTATTAGGGTATAAGTGGGTTGTATTAGGATGCTAAATAGTGGGAGTGGTTTGTATTAGACTGGGAGTGGGTTGTATTAGGGTATAAGTGGGTTGTGTTGGGATACTAGATAGTAGAAGTGTTTTTTATTAGGCTGGGAGTGGGTTGTATTAGGGTATAAGTGGGTTGTATTAGGATGCTAAATAGTAGGAGTGGTTTTAATTAGGCTGGGAGTGGGTTGTATTAGGATATAAGTGGGTTGTGTTAGGATGTTAAATAGTGGGAGTGGTTTGTATTAGACTGGGAGTGGGTTGTATTAGGGTATAAGTGGGTTGTGTTGGGATACTAGATAGTAGAAGTGGTTTTTATTAGGCTGGGAGTGGGTTGTATTAGGGTATAAGTGGGTTGTGTTGGGATACTAGATAGTCGGAATGGTTTTAGGCTGAGAGTGGGTTGTATTGGGGTATAAGTGGGTTGTGTTGGGATACTAGATAGTAGAAGTGGTTTTGATTAGGCTGGGAGTGGGTTGTATTAGGGTATAAGTGGGTTGTATTAGGATTCTAAATAGTGGGAGTGGTTTGTATTAGACTGGGAGTGGGTTGTATTAGGGTATAAGTGGGTTGTATTGGGATAATAGATAGTAGGAGTAGTTTTTATTAGGCTGGGAGTGGGTTGTATTAGGGTATAAGTGGGTTGTATTAGGATGCTAAATAGTGGGAGTGGTTTGTATTAGGGTGAGATTGAGATGAGATTAGGGTTGTACTGGGGTTGGAGTAGACTATATTATATAGGAAAACATGTTCATTCATTCATTCAATGCCCAAACCTCATATAAGCAATACATGACTTACCTGTGGCCATCTGACGAACTGTTATGTAACATTTTCTCCAGATCAACGTCCAGATTTGTACAAGAATTTGAGCGAGGTCGAAAACGTTTTCTCCTTCGGTTACAGTGTCTTCCTGAATACAAAAATACAATGATATTTATTTTAAAATCAGCCCTGGCAAAGTTTTAGATAATGGGTCATATTTTCATTCAAAACAAAAAGGATCACTATTATTTGAATCAAACAAAAAATAATCTATTAACTCACGCATATAGAAAAATATTTTTGTAAATTCGCACTCGTTTTTGCGACACCAAAAGACCGCCTAGGTGATGAAACATCGCCCATGGGTGATATGTCGTGGTGTGTGATATTTCAGATAAATCAGTAATTTTTTATTACAATCTTTATGGCTATCAACAGGCACCCTGCTCATTGCAAATACACTATAAAGACCAAATCTAAAAGAAGTCCACAAAAATACCTTCATCGAAAATATCAAAACAAACAGTTACGCTGTTTTCAAGAAGAAGTTAAAAATGTTACCAAATACTGAATTAGAGAATCAGTTATAAAATGAACCCCACAATGAATAAAATAAAAAAACATGATGTGTTTGTTAAAATTATCCATTATAACTTGAAATTTAACACAATATATTGAAAAAGACTGGTTTGATCAGATACAAGAGTAACTTACGTTTGATCTTCAATGGAAACACATTATCATCTGATAATTCTGACGAATCAAAAGATAATTGATCAAATTCGGTAGTACTGCAAAATAAATGTAGAATTCAGAAATGATTACAAATTAACAATCAGTATCAGTTCTTTGAGCATCTCACAGGTTACATGTATAAATTATGTTGCCTGTGCATTTTTATAACAGATTCAATATAAAACCAAACATGTTAAAGCTTTAAACAAGCAGCTCCTCGGCTGAGATAGCTCCGCTGTTAGCAATGCACATTTCAATTAAAAAACTGAAGACATCATTAGAAAATGATCAATATGTTTAGTATCAAAGCAATCAAACTTGCTGTTTTCAACAAGAAGTCAAAAATATCACTTTTTACTAAAAATGACAAAAATATTCATCAAAAGTATAAGAAGTCAAGAAGTCAAAAATATCACTTTTTACTAAAAATGACAAAAATATTCATCAAAATTATAAGAAGTCAAGAAGTCAAAAATATAACTTTTTACAAAAAAGTACAAAAACATTCATCAAAATGATAGAATTAAAGATATCATCACGAATGAACAAATCTGCCCAAGGTACACACT